ATTACAGATTGATCAAATCACCACTGTGAATTTGTATACTTTAGCTGGATCTCTTAGATCCTAAGTTTTAAATGCTTTTGACTAGTGATTGCCTTGAAGTAAATCTTTAAGCTGCAAGCTGGTTTTGATTTTATAGTTTGATAAGTGAGATTAACTAATGGTTAAATGTTAAAACATATTAGTTTAAAATAAATGTTTTTGCTATTATGTATCTGTGATTTCATATGTGTTCATTATTATGCTTTTGACAAAAGATGCTCCAAACACTGACGAGAGATGATTTTTCTATTATGATTGGCTGTCTCAATCATTGTGATTGAATGTTTCAATCTTATTATGTTGTTCTTAATGTCATTGTTATTAATGTAATTGATGTTGTGTAAGTCCACACTCAAATCTGAAGATTCCCATTGATTTAAGTATTGAACAAATTATTATTAGACTAAGGTTTTTAGATTATCAAAATTGATAAAAAGAGAGGAACTGTTGGGGAAATATTTCCCAAGGCCCATAGCTTTGACCCAGTTTATCAGTTCATACTGTCCTGACTGAGCACAGGCACCTGCAACCTTGGCTGCTGTGCTCTCAGTGCTTTGTCTCCCTGTTCCTGCCTGTTGGCGTCAGCTGATAGAGGTGTTATGATTCTATCTTGTTATCCACAATGTTAATTATTCTCTCTGAACTAGCTAAATACATGGGTCTGGGGTAGAGTTCTTCAGAATTGATTGTGGCATCTCTACCGTGTGGTCAGATCGTGGCCTGTGACATGTCTTGTGAATTCTCTGGCAAAGCTCCAAATAAACCGTCAGTGTTTGCCATCAAAGCTCCAGCTCTCCATCGTGTCTCTCTGAGTCCTGACTCCAATTGCTTCAGAAGTCTCCCCCACCAATGATAGTCAACACTGATATCCTTCACTTTCAACAGGTAGTATTGGTTTATGAGGGGCAAAATTCCTAATTGATGTGTAAATCTAAATGTGTTTGCATGGTTCTAATCAATAGGCTTGTATGTCATTGGAGGTTCAACAGATAGGCTAATGAAACTGGACTTTACATTTCACACCCCTCATTTAATCCCTATCACTTTCATATATTGAATCAACTGATGAAAAAAAAAAGTAAAAAGCTTAATTTTATTTGGCCTTCAAGGTCCTCTCTGAAAATAGGCCTGGGATGGCCTGTGCCCATGAAATGAGAAAATTCAAACTTTGTCGTAGGGCTACAAAAACGACACCAATGTCTCTTATTTGCGCGGAGGACCGAGCCCCGTTAAACTCACCAGCAACACAGAGTGGGCCTCGCTCGTGTGGAGGCTACTGCCAACTGTCATCGCCGGCGCCGAGCACCCACGGCCCGGTGTGTTTTCCTGCGGAGGTGTGTTTTCCTGCGGAGGACCGAGCCCCGTTCAACTCACCAGCAACACAGAGTGGGCCTCGCACGTGTGGAGGCTACTGCCAACTGTCATCGCCGGCGCCGAGCCCTGCAAGGCCAGTAGTCCGGGCCCCGTCTATCCAGGACGGGCTTCCATCGGCGGATCGGGTAGGCCTATGCTTACCTGCTGAGTGGATCTTGCCCCGCTCTTCCCCTCTGGCTATTACGATGGCGTATTTTCCTGTGTTCCTCTGCCTTGTCGTGGCATGGAGTTTTAGCGGCTATGCTATCGGCAACCCAGACTCCATACGCCCGCGGCTGGTTACCACAGATGGTGTGACATCCACACTGGGCCATGAACATAATGGATGGTTGTCGCATGTGATTAGTTTTGGAAATGTTTCTCATTTGAATTACTGCCCCTGGGTTCGCGAGATCTGTTGTTTTCCTGGGGCCTTCACCGTGGGAAACTCTACAGATGCCCTTTGCCAGTATTCTTCTTCTAACTCTTCTAGTCTCCCGATTATAACGAAATTTAAGCAGAAGTGCTTAATCATGTTGCTTCTTCTTCTGTCTGGTATTCAGCCTAATCCTGGTCCTTTAATGGCATGTAATACCCCGACGGACTTTAAGAACCTGTCTGGGTTACACATCATCCATGTAAATGCTCGCAGCTTGCTTCCCAAAATGGATATGTTACGAATTTGGTCAGTCAACTGGAGCTGATCTAATTATTGTTTCTGAGACTTGGCTTTCAAAGAAAATATTGGATAAAGATGTCGGAATTGACGGCTTCAATATTTATCGTTCGGACCGCCCCAGGAAAGGTGGTGGCGTGGCGATTTACGTAAAACAAAATCTTGCTGCACAGGTCATCTTCTCCAAATCTGCTGTTAAGCAGTTTGAAATGTTAGCACTAAAGATTGATTTATCTGGTGGTCAGTTTTTAACTGTTGTTGGTTGCTATAGGCCCCCTTCTGCTACAAGCGACACATTATCCTCGCTAATGCAGCTTTTATCTCAACTACAGTTTAAGGAAATCATCATGGTAGGTGATTTTAACTGGGACTGGCTTTCACCAGTGTCTGATGATTTTAAAGCTCATTGTATGTCTCTAAATTTTACACAAGTAATTGAAAGTCCTACTCGTCTTAACACCAGGTGTCTAGAAAAATCATCTCTTATCGATCTTTTAATTACTAATCAACCCCATAAATATACTGCAACCGGGGTCTTTGCTAATGACCTAAGTGATCATTGTCTAGTTGGTGCTATTAGGGATACCAAAATCCCCCGTACTAAACCCTGTGTTGTTCTGAAAAGAAATGTTAAGCACTTTATAGAGCAAGCCTTTCTTCATGACTTAGTTCATTTTAAATGGGATCGTATTTTATTGATTGGTGATGTTGACGATGCTTGGAAGTATTTTTATGACAGTTTTAGTTATTTTTTAGATAAACATGCTCTGTTTCGCCGGTTCAGGGTGAAGGGCCGTTATACCCCCTGGTTCACTTCTGATCTGGCAGCCCTCTTACGCAAGAGGAATCTCCTTTGGGCTGCTGCGAGGAAGACAGGCTCTGAGGCTGACTGGCTTCTTTTTCGTCAACTACGTAATCGCTGTACTGCTTCCATTAAAAAAGCCAAAAGCGATTTTTACTTATCCCAGACCACAGACAGTTTGAACGATCCTAGGAGATTTTGGCATGCCATAAAATCCCTCTCTGCCAGCTCTCGCTCCTTAGAGCTGCCTCCAAACATTGTTGTTGACTCCACCCCTGTGTCAAATAAGACAGAGATGCTTAATTGTTTTAATAAACATTTTATTGCGTCCAGTTCCTTGTTTGACACATTATCTTTTGGTAAATCATCTCCCTCCATCGCCAATAGTCATGCCTCCAGTAGCCACACTTTCTCCTTCAACCCCTTCAATGTTGGGGAGGTTTGTAAGGCTCTAAAGGGCCTAGACCCCAAAAAATCGGCAGGCCCGGACGATCTCCCCCCTTATTTCTTACGGCTAGCTGCAGATATTATAGCCAAACCACTGTGTCATGTTTTTAATCTTTCTATAACAAACAATGTCATTCCAGATGTTTGGAAAACTGCAAATGTTCTCCCCTTATTGAAAGGTGGTGATCCCATGGTGATGAATAATTACAGACCAATTTCCAAGCTCTCTATTTTAGCTAAAGTACTTGAAAGGCTGGTGAATGATCAAATCAAAGAATATTTAAGCTTGAACAACATTCTATCTCCTCACCAGTCAGGCTTTAGGAAGCAGCACAGTACAGTAACGGCTGCTTTGAAAGTAGTGAATGACATTGTCGAAAGCTTGGACGCAAAGAGCTACTGTGCTGCCCTTTTTATAGACTTATCCAAGGCATTTGATACTGTGGACCATGGCATTATATGCCAGAAGTTATCTCATATAGGCCTGTCTGACCAAGCTGTTGGTTGGTTTGAAAACTACCTTTCGAATCGCAAGCAATGTGTAAAATTCAGCGGTCTCTCCTCAAGCTTTCTTAATGTGCCCAGAGGTGTTCCTCAAGGTTCGGTCTTGGGACCGACCCTTTTTACTATTTATATAAATGATGTGGGTAAAAGCATTGATGCCTCTGTACATCTATATGCAGATGATACTGTTGTGTACTGTTGTGCTAGCACTGTTGCCCTTTGAACGTCTGCAGTCTGCTTTTGACACTTTTCAGTCACATCTGTTCCACCTTAGGTTGGTGTTAAACTCAGATAAGACAAAAGTCATGTTGTTTTCCAATAAGAAAAGGTTACCAACTGTTCTTCCCTGCATCATGTCTGCACAGCATAACCCCATTGAAGCTGTTAACACCTACAGATACTTAGGCATCACTATAGATGAAAATCTCTGCTTCAAACAGCATATTGACAATCTCTTAAGGAAATTGAAATTAAAACTGGGATTCTTTTTTAGAAATAAGGCCTGCTTCTCCACAAGTGCGAGGAAACGGCTTGTAGCTGCCACATTTTTGCCGCTCTTGGACTACGGGGATGTTGTGTACATGAACGCCTCAGCTCACTCACTTCATCTGCTGGACGCTGTCTACCATGGGGCTCTGAGGTTCATAACCAACTGTAAACCCCTCACACACCATTGCACGCTGTACTCTTTAGTCAACTGGACATCATTATCAATGCGCAGATCACTGCACTGGTACAAACTCATCTATACCGCTATGCTTGGACTGCTGCCCCTCTACATATCCACTTACATATCACACAAACAGTACGGCTATAGCCTACGATCTCAACATGACATCACTCTGTCCGTCCCCTCAGTTCGCACGGTGCTTGGAAAAAAAGCCATATCATACTCTGCCCCCTCGACCTGGAACACACTTCAGCAGGAACTTAAGCTGACCAGTTTGATACCCATCACGGATTTTAAACTAATTTTAAAAAAGCTGGAGAAATCATCTGTGGGTGTTTGCACCTGCTTTAACTGACTGCTGTGTGGATTTCGGTGACTGCTTTTTTTACGATGTTGTATTTTGTTGTTGCCTCTGTGTTTGGTGTCGTCTGTCTGTAACTTTGTGTGGTAGTGTTACCACTGACAGGTCTCTCTTGGAAATGAGACCTTGTGTCTCAATGAGATTTTAAACCTGTATAAATAAAGGCTAAATAAAAAAAAAAAAAATTTGCTTCCATAGTATTCAGCCTGTTCAACATTTTCTTAAAAGCAACTAGAATTAAAGAGACAATTTAATGTTGTTTTTGTTTTCCTGACAATCTACCGATCCACACTCCAGTCCATTAGGTGGCGGTAATGCGCATTTTAATTGGTTGCCAACCGCCAATAAACCTCAGAAGAAGAAGAAGAAGAAGAAGAAGAAGAAGAAGAAGAAGTTTTACACATGCCACTTTTCTCCTGAAAATGTCCACACTCCAGACACTGAAAACCTTCATCAGCCAGCGGCTTGCTGTCGCTGTGGAGGAGATATCTGGGCTGCTGGAAACAACAATCTCAAACTATGAAGAAGAGATCTCCCGCCAACGGAGGCTGCTCTCCAACGAGAGGTCCGGGTCCCAGATCCACACCGCAGGTATCTGATCCACTGCTCCGCTGAAACTCAGCAATATATCGCTATTCCTCTCTTCTACCTGTAAAGCAGCGGACTAGTTGTTTTGTCGTGTTTGATAAAAGGTCGTTTAGCTCCCGTGGCATCAATCTAAGAGTTTGAGCATTCCCGGTCTTCAAAGTAAAACGGAAATTCAAACACACAGTACTGTCCATTTGATCTTTGGCATATTACACAAAGGGTCTGCTAAATCAATACAAGAGGAATTTGGCGTTATTTTATTACGAGTATGGGCAATATGGCCAAATTAGTGTTTCATGGTAAAGGCAAGCATAGGCCTGATTTTATAACATGGTAAATGTTACTTTACACTTTTTCTCTGACTTCAATTAACTAGTTTCCTGCAGAGGGCTACTCCATTGGGGTTCAAGAGATAACTTGTAGAATCACAGCTAGGTTCATAGATCACTTTGAAGTTTAAGGCTCTCAAGTCATATTAAGAAGAACAGCTCAATACATTTTCGAAGTAAATTAACTGCTTCCCACATGTCCTCCTTCTACAGAAGCTGGTCAGCTGTGAGCCGTGGCTCAGCTCCATCTGACTGGACAGGGTTTATCTGCTGCACAAAGTGTTTTTAGAATGTTCCTTTGTGTGGATCATTAACTGTATATAGTCTGTTTTAAATCCAGTCCTCCCCATCATCCAATCATGCTAATCCTAATTTGTCCCGCTCTTTTCAAGTTTTTTTAATCTATGAATAATTGTCAAAAGTTACATTAGACTACAGAGTTGTTTTGTGTTTGTGTGCTGCCTTCCGTACTACTGATCCTAGTGGACTCTAGGCCTGGATAGACTGAGTTGGAATGGAAGGAGGGGAGGCATTGTTTCCTGTCCCTTATCAACCATGTAACACATTTTATTCTCAGACCTGGAGTGATACTGAGGCAACATTTACACGAGAACGAAGCGGCTTGTATCTGCATAGTTTCTCTTGCGTATAGCCCTATTATTTACACGAGGCCGTAACAAACGGACCCCACAAACGATAACGGGTCCCAAGGTGGATAGATTTGCAAACGAAACTCTCTGGGGGGTCAAACGAGTCTGTGTAATCGCCTCTATACGAATATTTCCTGAAAAAATAACGATAGCCTCTGCTGCTCACTGCTGTAGCATGGTCAGTAGCTACTGTCAGTAGCTACTGCTAGTGCTACTGCTACTGACCATACTACAGATGTTAGTACAACATCTACAGCTCGACCATGCTACAGATGTTAGTGCAAAATCTACAGCTCCTCTACCACAACCATCAGCAACAAGTGGACATGGAGAATTACATGAACTACTACATGTGGCTAAATCCACCGAGGGGCATAAACAGAAGGGTAGCCATGGCAACATTGCTCCGGGCTGCTCCGGGGTCTTCTTCACGGCTTTTGGTGTATTTTGTGGCGGAAGTTACAGCGCCACTTACAGTCCCGGCATATGTACTACAGTGTGTCCAGCGCTTTCGAGCGGTCTCGTGTGGAAGTACAGCACCACTTACAGTCCCGGCATATGTACTACAGCGTTTCCAGCGGTCTCGTTTGAACAGACACGTTAAATGAAACGAATGCATGTGAACGGAAGACTTTTTTGAAAACGCATACTGTTCATAAACGCAAACGTTCCCGTGTAAAAGCAGCCTGAAAGTGTAAAGAAGGAATAACACTGCATAGCTTAGTGGTTCCCAAACGTTTTCAGTCAGGCCCTTCTTGGGTAATTGGAAGTATTTGTGAGCCCCCCGCAGCCTGGTTCCCACCGAGATTGGTAGGATTAATTATATATAGTTGTACAAACATTACATTTTCTCTACTAATAATAACAAGACACACAGATCTATAATTTTACATTTTTATCATAGATTGAACATGAACTTAAGTGCTTGTATTGGCAAATGACCCTGTGCCACTGTGAAATAATTAAGGCTAATTGAAACAAGCAGGCCTACTTCCCTGGGTAGTAGATTTTTAATTAAAAAATGTTTTATGAATATATATATATATATATATATATATATATATATATATATATATATATATATATATATATTCATAAAACATTTTTTTCATGATCAATCATTATAAAACATATATAAATATAAGGCATATTTATACTTTTTTTTTTCTTCAAAATACCAAACAGATCATGCATTTTAGCCATGCCTCATTTTGCTCAATTTGACAATTTCTAGCTCTGTTTGTGCAGGGGCAGATTCAGTGAGAACAGCACCATCTACTGGCCTGGCATATGTACTACAGCGTCTCCAGCGCTTTCGAACGGCAATGGCCGTGGCTGTCTCCTCCTGATTGGTGGAGTTGGCCCAATAGCTGTAGCGCCACCGTCCTGACGTCAGGACAGTGGAATTGAGGCGAATATTTGTAATGTTCAGAGGTTGTTGTGTTTAATATTCATGAGAATATTTGTCATTGTTCAAATGATAATAAACAAACATATAAAGCATATTTGTCCACTCATATAAGAGTATTAAAAACTTGAAAAATATCCCTCTAAGGTACATTTAGAACAGATAAAAAATGTGCGATTAATCGCTATTAACTATGGACAATCATGTGATTAATCGCGATTAAATATTTTAATCGACTGACAGCCTTAATATATATATATATATATGTAGTTTACTTGATTAGAGCTACCTGTTTTATAATTATGGTTTGTAAAATACAATTATTCGATACCATAACAGGACGGATCGTTTAGGATTGATTGCATATGAACATACAGTGTATGGGTGATTTGAGCGGACTGCCCAGGTATATCAAGGCTGCCTGTGTTTCTTCTTTTCGTCCAAGAAAAAGGTGCCTTCATTGCCTAGTGGAGGCATGATGCTACTGGGAACCCAAGGGCCCCCTATTTAGCAGGCTAATGGGATCTTGGGAGTTTGTGATAATTAATTCTGGAAGGAGGTACAGGGTTCCCTTGTGTAAGCAATGGTTATTAACACTTGATTGTCCATCTGTCAGTTAAAAAGATCAACAAAAAACCTATGGAGGCTTGTAAATTGGTCATGGTTTTGTTATTCCTGTAGCTCTTAACATGGTTAATGGTGTGTGACTAATTGGTTGGCTGTTTCTCTGTCAGGACGACTAGTTCATATGTGCTCTGACTTACTTAATGTGTTTTTTAAAGTGATAAGTGGTCCAAATGCAACTCTTTTTTTCTCAAAAGCAATCTTCTTCCATGGCAACCATAAAGTACCATCGAAGAATGTTTTAACCTTAGATATAGCTATACATCCTGGTTTCAGGACCACAGGAACATGTTTAACTCTCATGTATAACCGCTTGTGTTTCTTTTATTTGCAGATATGCAACAAGCTTTTAAATTTCGAGTCGTCATCCATCACGAAATAAAGAAGATAACTTTTCAAAATGGCCTCCCCTCATCTGTGGAGGATTTGATTAAAGTGTTTAAACAAGCTTTTACCATCACCACAGAAATAGGTCTTCAGTACAAAGATACTGACTTTGATGACTTCTTCACTCTAACCTCTACAAGTGACCTCAAGGATAAAGACACACTCAAGGTAGTGCACATTCCACCAGGCTTCTTAAAGTCCACAGTCTCTCAGGAGCACAACCATGACACATCTGACATGTCCCCTGTCGATGATCTGCCCTCTGTGGAAGACCCAGTCATTCCCAGCCCCCCTGCCACTGACAGGCGTAACCTGTGGCCTGCCGTCTTTCCAATTCCCGTTTTCTCCTACAACACAGAGATGGCTTTGCAGCAAGGCAATGACATTTTTTTAAAAGATGGAACCCTGCTGACGTCACAAAGTGTTAAATCGGACATTCTGGAGCGCCTGGCTGAGGCCATGTTTTCCTACACAGCTTATCCCAATGATCCACAGAGGACCGCCGTTGCACATGCACTTATAGAGAGGCACCCCTGCTTGAGGGAGCCCGGCTCCTATAACGGATGTGACGGGTGGCAGCAAAGCCTAAAGTACAAATGTGCAAACTACAGGAGCAAACTTAAAGCCCATGGAAACCCTGAACTGATGATTAATACACTGAAACACAAGCAAGAGGGTGACAGAAAACCTGCCAAAAATGTAAAGAAACCAAGGAAATCTGAGGTAAACTACTACCCCCCACACCCAGCCGGTGAAACAGATGACAGCCTGGAGAATACAAGACTTGAGCTCATTTCAGCAAGCAAGTCCAGGGACAATAGCCAGATGATGAATGACATGATGTCGAGAACATACAGCTGTAGAAGAAGAGAAGTGGTCGGCCAGTCCATGCAAGTGGCACAATTCTATGAGAGATGGCCTGCCCTCTTCAATCCTGTACAGGTAAAGAAACTGGTTGAATGACCCTCCCACACCCTGTAGTGTAGCAAAGTAGGGTTTGTGAGAGACTCACTAAATGGGAATCTTAAGAAATGTTACTATATTTTTCCCCCAAACTTTATATCTGTCAAAAGTATTTCAGCCAGTGTTGGAATTAAAGTTTTTCTTTTACTCATATTATTTACCAGACACAGTTTTGTAATCATACTTTTAAAAAAAAAGAAAACTCACTTATGCTTTACGTTTAAGAAAAAACCCAACAAATGTTCCAATTGCAAATTCTACATTTGATATGTATTCATGTTTGTTTATCCTTTTGAATCTCTCTGTCACACTGCAGCTGCCAGAGCTTATCATGGACCCTTTCTCAGAGCATCACCGTGTTTTTCATCTTTCATCTCATTTCAAACCTTTACTTATGCAGGTGAATCCCTTTGAGATCATTTATCTCTTTTTCAAGGGTGACCTGCTGCAAGTAGGTTCCACATGAATACATATAAGGCAAGGCAATTTGATTTATATAGCACTTTTCAGCACGTGGCGATTCAAAGTGCTTTACAGATTAAAAGCAAAAGACATTTAAGAACAAATACAGCATAAATACATTAACATGTTATAAACATAACAGAAAAACAAAAAGGACATCATACAGCATATTTACAGCGACTACAGTTTACATAGCTAGTAACATTTACAGGTTCCAACAGTTTCCGATGGGATAGCATCTATCCTTAACCCAACGTGTGGGGGCATATGCAGTCTCATACCGATTTTTCAATGCTGCGTTTTTGTTCAACCACTCTGAGCACTTATTTTTGCAAGTTACTGAACTTTTCTAGAAAACTGTGGTGACGTTGACAAAATCCTCTCCTCCAGATAAATGAAGAGTTCCGAAGGTGCAACACTATTCCCCTGGAGTCAACGTTTATGTCTCAGCTGGACAGGTTCACTTCAAAGTTCCTGCAGTTATTCAGCTCAAAGGGAGGAGCTGTTGGACAGCGCATGAAGGGCTTCATGACTGAACTAAGACAGGTGAGGAAGGGGTGTAGAACCAAGACAAACAATAAATGAATCTGGAGCTTAAGGTTTATTCCAATTGTCTTTGGTTTTGAATTTTTTTTTTCATGTTCACCAAGCCATAAGGTTCTACTTTTATTTATGATCCAATTATATATATATATATATATATATATATATATATATAATATCTGTATGTATATTTTGTATTTTGACATGTATATTTTATATTTTATTTTATTTTATTTCTATTCTTGTATATTTTGTTTTATTGTAAAATGCCTTTTATGCTGCCCAATCCCAATTTGGGATCAATAAAGTACGATCTATCTATCTATCTATGATTAACTGTAGGATCAACATGTGTCCGTGGTGAAGAAGAGGGACGTGATTCTGAGATGCCTCATTGAGTACCTGGGGGAGAGTGTGCCTGAGCTCATCTCCGACTACTACGTAAGTATTGCCCTTATTGCTGTGTTTTAAGGCGTGTTTGTATATATGTATAGATGTATGCATACACACACTTGCATATATGTTTATATATATTTTATGCATATATATATATATATATATATATATATATATATATATATATATATATATATATATATATATATATATATATATATATATATATATATATATATATATATATATATATATATATATATATATATATATATATATATATATATATATATATAGTAACTTTTTAAACAAAGTGCAAAATTCTAAGTAATTCCAAAAGATTGAAATAAACTAAATGAGTACTTCAATAAAAAAGTGAAATCCAGTTACAGATCAGTCAGGATAGACTGCATGGTGGTTACCTCCGCTGACCCAAAACCAAGACTCCCTTTTTAATCCTGTAGCGCAGCCCCTCCCACTTGGCTCGACCTTTTGAAGAGGAAATACAATTTATACAAAATAAAACAATTCCTGCTCCTTATATTCCTCTACATTGAGTCATTATTTGAAATGGATTACATGAATTATTTTAATGTTTTCTTATTTCAAAGCTTGTCAACTGCAATGTATGTTTTATAGAGAACAGCAGAGACGAAAGTGCATCAAGACCTTCAAGCTGAAAGTATGAGGATCTATGTCTGCCAGCAGCCAGATGCAGTGGGCATCATCATTGATGGAACTCCAGTGATGACAGATCTGGATAACCTGCCCAAAGCCTGCTGCCTTCTCCTTGGCCTCACATATGCCCTAAATCTGGATTATCCTCCCAAACTGGCCAAGACTTTTGAAGTCTTTCAAAGACTATTTGTAGGACTTGATATGCTTCAACCAAAGCAAACCTCCAAGTTCATCAGCCTGAAAAACAAACTCTTCACCTAGACAATTGCTGTGTGCTTTTTTACTTTGTCAAGTCTCCGTTTTTACAAGTGTATAACCTTTAGGAGCTGTGAAGGTGTCTGGTTATTTGACATTAAGGATTGCACTGCAGGTTCGTAGTTCACACGTAGTGTGTTAAAGACTATATATATATATATATATATATATATATATACTAAGGATTAAAACATTGAACTGAATTTAAGAATTTTAAGCAACTTAAAACTGACAAAGGGAACATTTGGCATTTTTCCACAAGTATGGTTGTGAAACCTTAGTGCACATCCTCCTTTAATTGAATCGAGTAAAACAATGAAACCAGCAGCTTTCAGGGCTTAGCTCTGGCTCAAACAGTTCTCAATTAAGATGCATTTATTTTCTATGCAAGCTCAAAAATGTAGCTTAATTATTTTATGATTTTCTCTTAGGGGGAAAATAATACTGAGATTAGTGTTAACATTTTCCAAAAAATTACTGCTTTTTATTCATTTATTTTTTTAAATGGACATTTAGGCCTAGGGGGTGGCTGGAGAAATTTCTCACTACGAGTTTACAATTCTCAAACAAAATGAAAGGTTTCAAGATGTTTGTGTTGTAGAGTTGATCTGTTCTCACAGACTTTCACACTCTGAATTCTGAATAATCTAAAGAGAATGATATAAAATGTAAAAGGGTCTGTAGGATTTAAAAAAACAACATTGCAGGGTTTTTTTTTTTTCGCTTTTCACTGATGGAAATAAAAGCATTATCATGGTTAGCACGTAATATTTATTGGCTATTATTTATTAATACATTAAAATGATTAATGTCCTTGTATTTTGCCTCGGATATATTATAACATATTGGGTGGCTTGGACAGAAATACCTAGGGTCAAAAATCATTAAATCGATGAACCATTAAATATGTGTTTGCTCTAGTGAGCCATAACTATTCGATATCGTTTATCAACTGTAGATATAAACTAACTTAAATCCTGATATAAATTCTGCTCAGTATGAATTGGATTGCTAATATTGGTACAGGAGGTAGCAGGGTTCAAAGATTGGGTACATGGCTACTGAGTCCATTTTAACTCAACCACGTTATTGACATTGTCTGAGTGTCAGGGCCAATCCAGGGTGAAACACCAAAGATCCAGGAGTACATCAGGAAGATGGCCACGAGATGACCGTTTTTTTGAATAGTTTTGTAAGTTGCTGCAGTGAACACGAATATGCCGTCAGGCCTTCTCCAGTCACCACTTGTCACATCTTTACCTCATGCACATACAGATTGGTAAAATAAGCAAAGGCCCGACAAAAAAAGGAGGTAAATTCATGGACATAGCTGCCTGGTTACATTATGCTTTATTGTTTTACTTTTTTCATTTTCTGGTGATGAACTCATTGCATTAGCCACACGTTTAATTAAGTGTATTGTGTAAGACAACAGAACAATGTAAACTCAAAATATGAAACCAAGATATTTAGTATTAACCTGTGTCCTTTGCTCAGTTTTTGAAAAAAATAAAACCTGCCTTTCATTAATCATATTCAGACAGACCAACACTGAAATTGCACAACACATGACCAAATAGCAGAGGTAATAGTTGACAAGTAAAAATCACATTGGAGCTAACAGTAGGCAGTTTTTGCCAGAAATAACTTTGGTCTTACATCATTCAAAGAGCTAAGTAAAACAATACAGGGTATTTTTAGTGTGAATGCTGTTTACAGCATTCCACTATAGTTCTTCGATTTCTTTATTCTTATTTCAGCCAATACTTTGGCTCTCCATAACTTCAGTTTATTTTCAGCTACAGAAACCATTCAAATATTAAACTTTTCAGCTTTTTAAACTCTTTTTTTAACATGGAAGTCAATGGGAGGAGCCTTCAAATCCTCTTTTCCTACACCTTGCGCCAAATGCTACTCCTTCCACATACTTTCAGCTAGACACTTCATTCCAACTTTCAAATGATCACAAGACCTTCAGCTATAAAACTTGTTCTTCAGATTTTTGATATCTTTTACACTTTTTGAGATATTTAACTTAGTTTGGAGCTTGGTAGAGCGGCCTTTTTCAGATTTTAACATTAGTGTGGATGGAGCAGCTTGTTAAGTCTAGAGTGCTTTGATCTCAAAACAGAGTGCAGCAGTGCTTGAAATTCTCCACAAAAAATGTTTTAAACTTGCCATAATTCCCAAACCCTACACTCCGGACATATTTTTTCATGAAAAATGTAGGAAAACCTCTCCTAGGTTGGAAAATAAAAAAAAATGAAGAAGAAATATTAAACAAAATGCCTCTTGAGGGCATGAAGAGACAAAAAGTCCACCTAGCTCCCAATTGATTCCCATGTTAAATCTTTCTGGAACTTTCTTCAGAACAGAGAGAAGTACACTTTAGACAAACTGCTCCCATCTCCACATTTTACACACAAAACCAAAAAAGGAGGTTGTGGTGATCCGACTGATGTGTTCAAAGGAGAGGTTGCAGTTGAAAATAACTCCAATATTGCAGATGTTTTTGGAGGGACAGTGGAGTAATCAATCATAGGGAGGTATTAAAGGCACGTCCAGCTGGGAGGAGACAAGCTGGAGGGATTATATCTCCACGCTGGCCTGGGAGGGCCTTATGGGGCATTTCCACCATGGCGCGGAGCGCGGTTTAAGCGTGCCGTGTCGTGCCGGGCCCGTTTTTGGTTGCGCTTCCACTAGGCCTAGTTCCGGCCCGGGGGTACTTTTTCACCTCTTTTCTGGCCCGACAAAATCGTGGTTCTATCGGGGCCAACAAACAGGGCTGAGTTTGCTAAACTAGAGAGAGAATCGCCGGCAAGGGGGCTACAACTACAACAAGATGAACATATTTGACCGTGATTTAATTGTAATACACGTTTCAAAATGATGCCGAAGTAACAACATACTGATACCGGTTAGTAAAAACCATGAATTAATGCTTTGTCAAGTCTGCAGACAGACGGCAGGCGAAAAACCTTTTAAAATGCGTGTTTTCTAAATGGAGATCGGCTAAGCTAACGCAGTATATGCTCCGACCGTCCACACTCACAACAACGGCCTATACAGACATAAATAAACCAGCGACTGTATTCACCATGACACAGGCAGTCTGTGGTTTGTACTTGTTTAACTTTTGTTTAGTTTCTGAACATATATGAGGAGCTGTGAGCTCTGAGTGCTAACAGCTAACGGCTGTGTTGTTTTTCTGGGGTTCTCATTGAAGATGACGTCACGGCTCCGCCTACACTGCGTTACTATAGTAACTACCCCAGTTCCTAAACTGTAATGGAAGCGCAGCATGAAGTGAGCCGGCCCTAACAAGGCCCAACGCGGCCTAGCAGTACCGAGCGAGGCCGAGGCCGACCGTGTGGTGGAAATGCGCCATTAGAGTCCCCCCAGCCAGAGGAGGCCCTCTGCTGCTTCCCCCGAGACCCGACCCCGGATAAGTGGTTGATGATGGATGGATGGATGGATGGATGGGTGGAACAGGTTGTTGGAGTTGAGCTGTACTTTAAAGAGTTGGGTAGAGACTACACGTTCCAGGATATTTGAAAGACAAGGAAAATGGATTTGGGCTTGACATTGACCAGGGTCTCTTGGGGAGGGGCTTACTGATTGGGGGCCAGATCGAATGATGAAGGAGTTGATGTCAGTGATGAGTGGAGAAATGCTGGGAGACTGTCCTTCACTAGATGGATCAAGCTTTTCATCCTAAGAAACAAAGTCCTGAATGGTTACGAGCAAGACCAGGGATTTCCTGCTTGTTATTTGCCGTTGTGGACGGTTTTGGTTGACCTGTAAAGATTATTCGTTTTTTGTTTTGTACAAAGGGATTATTTGTTTAAACCTACAGTCTATGGTTTAAACCGACGAGTCAAAAATCACGGATGCTGATGATGATGAACTGAAATTGTATTCTAAGCTTCTTCTTCCCCCTTTTGAACATGAAGGTAACTATTTGAGTATTTATTTCTATACCTTGTTAAGTATTTTGTTATTTTGCTTCTTTTTATTATTATTTTTTCCTTTTTTCTTGTTTGTTTTTAACATGTTCAATCCTGATAATCAGGTTAGAGATCTCAAATGGGGTCCCAGGGGATACTGCATCTCTGCCATGTAACATGAATAGTCCTTTCTCCCTTTAACTGGTGGAATATTAGCTAGCTAGCTGCACATGAATACCCAGGGTTTGCTTATTAGACACTGTAGTTAAATGTTGACCATTCCATTGAAAGCGTGTTTGAGAGCAATTCAAATGTGTTGTTTGTGCACAGCATTTACACAGTTTAAGACAAAGTCAAGAACCATGAAAAAATACATCTGACAGATAAAGCTATAGAGAAAAGGCAGGAAGACTTAGTCTACAGAAGTATGAACAAATAGAAATGCTTTGGTATGTTCTGCGCATCCTGTCTGCAAAGTCTCCAGGTAACAGGAAAAATGGTTCTGCCAGATGTCCTCAAACTGGTGATACAATTGGCAGAGTATTCATAACACACCAAATCAGGATCACAGCAGAACCCATTCCACATCTAGAACACAGTGTCTGCTGCCATTACCAATGTCAAGGTCAAGGGTAAATACTTTACTTTGAAAGAAACATACCAACACTATGACCGCAAATGTAAAGGCTTTATTAAGGTAATGCAGAAGAAATTTCAATAAGATAAAAAATCAAGAGGAAAAGTTGTGATAGCTCAGAAGTATCAAAGTAATCACAGAGTCGGGTTTCTTACCGGTAAAATGAAGCGTTCCTTCCTGCAGGAGCTTTCCCTCCACCTCTCTCTTCAGTTCTTTGTAGTCTTCGGTCAGCAGCTCAATGTGTTCCTCATGGAGAATAACTCCTGACACACATGCACAAATGTTGACTGAGATATTAGAATGAAACATTTATTTTAGGTAAGGCCTGTGTGTTTTTTCTAAAGTAACAGAGCCGATGACTTATCTTAGGATGTAGTCATTTATGAAGTCCTATCAGGAGCACCCAATGTTCACCTTCATAGTGGAAGATGTTTGATGTTTTGACTCTGCCTGATACAAATAATTATGTGAACGGCTCAGGCCAATCCTGAATCCCGCACATAGCTGCACACTCTCGGCCCCTGTCTGTGAATGAAGCGCTTGCAATAGATCAGCACATACACTGTGTGCTCAATTATTAGGCAAGTGAGTATTTTGACCATATCATCATTTATGTGCATATTTTCAAACTCCAAGCTGAATAAACTTAAATGTGTATTGGATTTAAGCATATCAGGTGAAGATGATTAATGAGGGAGGGTGTGGCCTAAGGACATCAACACCCTACATGAAGGTGTGCAGAATTATTAGGCAGCTCCTTTTCCTCAGGCAAAATGGGCCAAAAAGGAGATTGTAAAATGTCTTTCAGAGGGATGCAGCTCTTGACATTTCTAAGATATTGGGGCGTGATCACAGAACCATCAAAGGTTTTGTTGAAAATAATGAACAGGGTCGCAAGAAACGTGTTGAGACAAAAATACGCAAATTAACTTCCAAAGATCTGAGAAGAATCAAACGTGAAGCCACCAGGAAGCCATTATCCTCCAGTGCTGTCAAATTCTAGAACTGTGACCTACCTGAGGGCGCAGAAGTCTCAGGTGTTCAGAGACACGGCCAAGGGAAGGAAGGCTGAAACCACCACTGAACAAGACACATGAGTAAACGTCAAGACTGGGCCAAGAAATATCTGGAGACAGATTTTTGAAAGGTTTTCTGGACTGATGAGATGAGGGTGACTTTTGATGGATGGGTGGCTGGATCAGTACCGGGCACAGAGTTCCACTTCAACTCAGACGCCAGCAAGGTGGAGGTGGTGTATGTTTTATTAAAGATGAGGTAGTTTGACCTTTTCGGGTTGAAGATGGACTCAAAATCAACTCCCAAACCTACTGCCAGTTTTTAGAAGACACTTTCTTCCATCAGTGGTACAGGAAACAGTCTGCATCTTTCAGGAAGACCATGATTTTATGAAGGACAATGCTCCATCGCATGCATCAAAGTACTCCTCTACGCCTTAAAGAGGAAAGAATAATGATGGCCCCCTTCCTCCCCTGACCTAAACCATATTCAGAACTTGTGGACCCTTCTTTTTTTCCTTACTTTATTATTATTGATTTTTTACATGCATAGAATACAAAGAGGAAAGGAAAGAAAAGCACAGACAAGCATAGAAAAATAAAAAAACTAATTGGGTCAATGAGTAACTTTGTTATCGTTTGTTTAGTTAATTAGCTTGGGAGTTGTTTCCTTCCAGTCTGTTTCTTTTTTTGTATAGTCCTGTCAGGAACTGAATTTCAAAATAAAATAACCGGAAACAGACGTAGGCCTATATGGGACATTTCGAGCATCATTGCGATACACACAGGGGTTAAGTTGGGATTTGATATGTGGGGGGGCTCTGTATGGAGGTGCGAGAGGGGGGCGGAGGTCGAGGATCTCATTATTTGACCTTAAGGGATATACACTGTGGCCCTAAAGCAACTGCTCCATTATCTGTATCAAAAGCACACAT